GGATATTAGATGCTCCAAAGAGACGCCTTCCAGTTAAAAGCTAGCACAGGCAGACTCGATCAGCCTTCCTCCGTTTCTCTTTGAAAAGATTTACAGAATTCTCTGCTCTGCCCCCATTCCCAATTTGATATCCTTCGGGGTCTCCTCCTACTTCGGGATTTTAAAGATTGCCCAGCATATCCGACGCACGGGGCTGCAGACGCCGATAGAGCCTTGGGCGCAGGGCGAACTCCGGGCCATCCCCGGCACAGTCGGCGCAGCGCTGGTGCGCGCCGGGCCCGCGGTGGACGGAGGTCCCCCTTTTCTTCCTTCCTGCAGTTCTTTCTCTATCACTCTTTCTTTCTCCTCGGCGGATTCTCCCCCGCACGGCCCAAGGATGCGAGCCGCCATTCCCTGGGGCCGAAAGCAAAGCCTCCCCAGCGTCTGTGGGTCCAGTTCATGGCAAAGGTTGGGGGAGGGGGGAATGGAAACGGGACTAAGAAATAACCAAGAAGTTGCTAAGTCCTGTCGGAGAGAGACACAGTCCGAGACGAGTGGTTGCCGCCAGAGAAGGAGGGGAGGGAGAGGGAGCGAGCTGGAAGGGAGGGTGAGAGGAAAGGGAGGGTGAGCCGGGAGAATGAGATTTGATCTTTTTTATCCCCTTCTTTTTGGAGCAAGGTTGGTGGTGGTGTGCAATTTTGCAAGAGGGAAGAGAGTGGAGACGACGGGTTAAAATGATATTAAAAAACAGGTCACTGGTGTGATCGACAATTCCCCTTGCTTGCTTTCTTGCTTTAAGGCAACTCCCTAGAAAAGCTTGCCCTGCAGAGCTCGCGTCCACTCCCCCGGAGGCGGCGCTGCTCTCTGCTCCAAAGCTCCTTCCTCCCGCAGAGCTGCACGCCAGCGCGCGGGAGAAAGGCTCCGAGGGCTGGTCCTCAGCCTACCTCAGCGCAGGGTGCCAGGGCCTGTGCCCCACCGTCAGGGTTGAGCAAGCACCCTAGGACTCGGGAAGAAGAGAGTGGTTGGCTACTCGGAAAGCCAGGGAAACCAACATGCTTGCTACTACCTTTAAAAACCTACAGGCAGAACCCAACCCCTCTCCAGTGAGTCCCAGATGCTGTATTTCTCCAGTCTGTTATATTAGTGTGCCAACTTCATGTGGCATCCTCATGCTGTTGCCTTGCTCCTGCTCGAAGGTCTGTTTTCCACCAGCCTTTCGTGTTGGTGGAATACCTCAAGTTACCTAGATCCCAAGAGCTTTGTTAGAAGGACTGAGGGTGGCACTTATGGCAAACCATATTAGCTAAGCATACCCAGTGTATGGGTATTACTCAACAATTGTTGAGGGTGGAAATGGAAATAACATTAATGACTGTGGCCTTTAACAGGTTCACCGAGTAAAGAAGACTAAATGGTTGGTGAAAAAGTCACAGAAAGAAATCTCCAGAGTATGTGAGGTCCGGGGTTACTACCAGGAAAGGCCTTAGAATACTGTCTGCAGGTATATTCTATGTGCCCCACTGAGAGCTTATGAGACAAACATACAGGCCCCTACTTCAAAACACTCACAGGGCATACTGTCCAATGTGCATGAGTAATGTGGTCTCTGAAAAACTAGAGGAAAAATGCAAAGCTAACTGTTTTTGGCCACTTGTGAAATGTCATTCAGTATCTGTTCAATGGGCTTTAAAGAAAAAGTCTGCATGAGTGTTCCCTGGGAGCTTTTTTGTTTTACACTTAAAACAGGAATCTGATAGTCCATTCTTGTTCATTTTTAAGTCACCTAACCCACTATGTGCCCACACTAATAACACTAATAATCCAATTCTGTCTTAATTATCTTGACATTCCATGTTAAAGTGTGTTTATAGCCTAGAGTATTTGGATAATTGGTTCAGTATGTCACTGCATTTTGTATGTAGAGATTGCAGTGTTGTAAAGAAAAGCCATAAGGAGATTCTTAAGCTCAAAGTAGTTCATGGGCACCGGGAAAAATATGGCTTAAACCAAACACAGGACCATGGGAAATAGCCTGCCTCAGCTAAGCAGGTGATGATACCAATATGATGACATAAGTGGATGTGAAGCACTGTGACAGGTCCAGCTTCTCTCCATCGATGTCCAGAGCTGTGTCACCACATGGAGGACAAGCTGGGCAGATAGTCAATGGCAGCGGGTACCATCTGTTTAATAATTAAGGAAACTGGAGCAGCAGTGTCTTTGCCAAAGACAAATGAGCCTCCCTGCATGCACACCTACTTTCTTGAGTTTCTTTTTTAGACATATGAATCATACACCAGAGCCTCCCTGGGACACTTCCGATGAAAATTCTTGATTGGAAAATCATGCTAATATTCATTGGCATCAAAAATAGCACATTAGATTGAAAAACTATAAAAATCTGGGCACATGTCAAGGCTAGAAAGAAAGGTATATTGAGGGAAATTTTAGACTGTCAATTTCAATTGACTATTTTAATGTTCTATGTCCCCTTTCTTAGTTCTTTAGAAAAAATAATAAATGACAATATATGGATTGTCATCAAAAGAGTTAGAAAAGAAGGAAAACATGTATTTAAAAATGTAACATAAAATAAGGAAAGAATAACATTTTTAGCAGCGGCAAACAAAAATACTAGGTCCATATGTCAAATAATGGTGTCCTTGAAGCATCCAATAGTGGAGCAGAAGGAATGTCCTGGGATCTGCATTTCTCCTCATTCTCAGCAAAAATCCAACCAGGTCAATTATGCCATCAAAGGAAAAGAAGGCTCGTTCCACCCACCCTATTCCTCATGGCCACCCAGAACTAAAACAACAAAATGTTCATATTAGAAGGAAGCAACAGCATCATACTAACTGAATGAAGTGACTAACAGCATACAACTAGTGGTGGTGGGAGAGGAGGTGGTCAACAAAATGAGTCCATACAGTGGACACTGAACAATCACTGAACTAAAAAGTCACTTCCTAAGCTAGGAATGTGTCCTAAGACAGAAAGTGACGACACAGCCAAAGGGTAAGCAAAGTGTGGTAAGAAAAATAGTGGGTAAGAAAAAATTACTGCCTGGACAGTGGAAATATAAATGTGAATTTGATTGATAAGGCTCTCCAATTTGTACAAAGAATAAACAATCTTAGCATGTGTTTTTATTAGTCTTGGGTGAAGAGGAGCTAGAAATGAGCCCCATCGCCTATCATTTTCATGCTGTTAAATACAGTTGTGCTTCTCTGTTAAATACAGCAATACCTGCCATTTGGCAGAAGCTCAAAACACACCTGTGGAATAAATTTTTGATGAATGAGTGAATAAGTGTAGCCAATGAAGAAAGGATGACCAAATAGATGGAAAATGAGTAAATGGGTTCAAATTTCCATTAATAAAATAAATAAGTTATGGGGTTGTCTTGTACAGCATGGTGATTATAGTTAATGATGCTACATTACACATTTGAATGCAGCTAAGAGAGCAGATTTCAAAAGTTTTCATTACAATAGAAGACTCTGTAACTATGGATGATGATGGATGTTAATAGCAATGGTGATCATTTTGCAATATATAAAAATATCAAATCATGTTACATATTTGAAATTAACATTTCAATCGTATTTACATTAAAAACTTTAAAAAACCTTTATTACCTCATTAAGGTCTGAGATCAAGATCATCTCCAAGTTTTAAATCCTCTAAGTCTTACATAGAAGATTCTGTTGCCTAGAATGGACTGCTAGACAAAATCACCCAAGCAGCTCTTACTGTAGAATGTTGCTTTAAAAAGTGCTATACAAATAACTCACTTATAAAAGAGGTACTAATTAAAGTCCCCAAAACTTTGTTTCCTCTGTAATCCACAGAAGTTTTCTGGTAGGCACAGAGAATAGTAGTTTCCACACAAGCATTTATGCCAAGTCATAAGAAGTCCAGATTTAGGAGATATTGAATATAAATTATTGACCAAAATCATCACAACTCACATCATGATTGATAACCTGGTTTCCAACTATGCCAACTAACACTAATTTAGGGGGTGAATCTGAGTAAAATTACTCAACATTTTGTTAATTCAGGTCTTATTAATACTTATTACATAATAAGTCAAGAAAAAAATGCAGAAAACTTGCATTTTGGATGCATTATTCTTCTATAGAGTGCTGTCCCTCTAATTTCCAAAGACATCCCCCTCCCCATTTTATTAAGCTGTAATTGGCACAAAGCATTGTATAAATTTCACAGCATGATGACTTGATTTACATATTTTGTGAATAATTACCACAATAAGTTTAGTTAACATCCATCACCTCAATTAGATACAGAAATTCCTTGTGATGAGAACTCTTGGGACCTACTGTTCCAGCAGCTTTCAAATATATCAAACGCATCATCAGTAATAACTATTGTCATCATGCTCATTACATCCCCAGTATTTATTTATTTTACAAATGGAAGTTTATACTTTTTGACCACCTTCTTCCACTCCTCTTATCCCTTTCTTGCCTGCATTTAAGTAATTACAAATCTGGTCTCTTTTTCTGTTACTTTGGTTTAGGGGTATTGCTTTTTGTTTTAAGTTGTACATGTAAGTAAGTTCCTACAGCATTTGTCTTTCTCTGGCTTATTTCATTTCATAAAATGCCTTACAGGTCAATCCATATTGTTACAAATGGTGGGATTCCTTTCTTTACTATAACTAAGAACATTCCATTATCAACACTTAGGTTGTTTCCATGTCTTGGCCATTATAAATAATGCTATGAAAATGAGGGTGCAGGCATCTCTTCAATATATTGTTTTCAAATTCTTTGGACA